CAAAAGTACATGTGTGGCTTGATGTACCCTCGTTGTAACTGTATAACCTGAAGTTAATAAGTTAATAAAAAGTCCCTGGCCGTAGAGGTCACCTTAACGCCAAAAAAAAAAAAAAAAAAATGTTTTTGAGATATAGCACTTCTAGTAAATTTTATTTCTAATAAATATTAAAATTGTTTTAAATAATAATAATTATCTAAATATTAATAATGCTATTTTTGAATTATATTTTTTTATTAAAATTACTAATTTTTTCAAATCTCTTTTGTTATCTTAATTACAAGTTTTAAAAATATATTAGCTGCTAAAATAATACTTTTAAAAAAAATTTTATAAGCATACTTAGCTATATATATACTATATATTAGACTATTAGCAAAAAGGTAATAGTAGTAAAAATCTCTCAGGAATGAGATTATATGAAATTAAATTTCTAACTACTAGTAAAATAAAAAACTAATATATTTTAAAAGTTATTTGATTATAAGTAACATATATAGTAACTTGTCATATAAGCAATTATATTTTTATATAAAAGATATTCTAAAACTAATATAATTAATTTTAAAATAGTTATCATCAACTCTTCCCGATGATTCTTTAGACCAACTTTTCAAAACAAAATTTTTGAAAAAAATAGCAGAACTATATTAGAAAAGAAGAATATATGACTGATAAGAACCATAAACTGATATCTATAATTTAGCAATAGTTCTTATATACTATCTGCTAATAGGTTTAGAGCTTATCACTTACTGTAGAAATGGTACTTGTTATTTAAAAATAGTTCTTATATGCTACTTGCTAACAAGTTCAGAGTTTATTACTTACTAAAAAAAATATTAGCAGTATGCTTAGATCTATTTGTCCTAATGTTTTTAAAAAAAATATATACTTTCTTTCAAGAAAAGTACTAAGTCTATATTTTTTACTATTACCCACTTATGCTTACAACAAATTTTTTAAAAAAAGTAGGCAAAATAGCTTATCTCTGTCAAAAAATTGGCATTGTTTATTTCTTTTAAATTCAGATGAACCAGTAGACTATAACTATGTGTTTTGTTAGATAAACAATCATGTTACTACTCTACATGACTTTCAGAACTAAAGTTAATATAGCAACTAATAGGAGGTATAGAGTTGAAAATTAATTTTAGCTTAGTTTTACTTTGCATTTAGAGATATAGAAATATTGTATTTGCTAAATAATTTTTTCAAGCCTAGCACGGATTATAATGCAATTTCTTTTTATTGTATTTTTGTCTTTTTTTTTATGCTACTTGATAGTGGCACTTTTGTTAGCTGGTTTCAGGCTTTGCTCTTTGTTTTTTTTTTTTTGCAATTCATTGATTCTCTATTATTATTCTTTTATAACTTCTTCTTTTATATTATTTGTTTTTTTTATATATTACTTATTTTCTTTGTAATGTTTGTTCTATATATTTAGTATAAAACTTTTTTCTCTTTTGATCTTGGTAAAGAAATGAATTCGAGGAGTTTAAGCTTAAGATGGGCTAACAAGATCTTTCAATTCATCTTGATATTGGTGTAATGAGTTGTAGCTAGATACGTATTATACAGCTAGATAATGTCAAACTTGCAATCTTAGATATATGGTCTAGTATTTAGAAAAAATTATTCAATCTAATTATTGTAATAAATCTGTAATAAAGTTTTAGCAAAATCATCAAAGTTTTAAAAAAAAAAAAAAAAGAAAAAAAAAAATTCTAAAACAGTAACTTTATTTCTTCTTTAATATTAGATAAAATGCATTTTATATTCAATATTAATATAATATTTTCATATACAAAAATGGACAACTCTCCCTATTGATCACTATGACCAAATTCTGAAGAAAGAAAATTAAAGAAAACTGCCTAAACGACTAAGCTAACAAGGAGTTTGCATTTAACTAAAGTTGTAACACAAAGAAAATACAACAATTTTTATTAGAACAATTTTTAATAATCTATAGCAAGGAGCATAGATTATCTTCAAAATAGCCTTTTGGACGAAAAATTTTCATTTCTGTGAAAAAAGTGGGAAACGGGCTTATCCCAGTTTGCAAATTCTTGTACATCATACAAAGTAAACAAACGTATTAACACAGCACCAAACAAATAATAACTGAAATAGTACACATGTAACTGGTGTCCAAAACAAGATATTATCTAGAACTAAACAGGTATAATGCAGGATGATGACATGTAATAAACTAACCACAATAGCAGAGTTAAACTGGTTTAGCAAATTAGAAGAGTACAAAGATTTTTTTATAAAATCACCTGAAGAGTGGAATATAGCAAGACAAGAACACGCACATCTAGTACTACAGAAAGATAAGGAAATAGTAGCATTAACTGAAGCTGCATCCAAAACAATAAGTATATTTAGAAGAATAATAGAGCTATATGACTATAGTGAGTATCTGAAGAATAAAGATAGAGAGGTAGAGTTAACCAAGAGTGCAGCAAAGTCAAACCTCGATGAACAAATTAAAGAAAAGCTAATAGAGTATGAGAGTGAGGTAGTCAATTATGATATAGAAGAAGTTAATAGTAAAGAATCACTATATATATCAACATCTGAGGGAAGTAATGCAGGGTCAGATTTGAGTGTAGAAGACAAAAAGAAGCCCTCTAGCCAAGAATTAAAAGATAATACAACTGAAGAGCTAGTACAAGAGTTAGAAAAGATATTAATTGTTACAACTATGTTAATAAGCACTGAAATTGTAAAAAATATACAAAGGCTTAGTAAAGATGATAAACAGAAAAAAATACTAGTAAGGGCAGATACAAACAAAGCCAACTAGGCTGAGCTATTTATACTATAGAATATACCATTATACATACGGTCATAAGCAATAAGGAAATGCTTACACTTCTATAGCAAAATAAGCATTTTAAAATAGAAGCTACAAGGGAAAAACAAGGCAGTTTCTTTTATGATTAAATATTACAATGCAAAATGCAAGTTGGACTTCCAAGATGCATGGGCAGTACATTTTGTAGAAGGGAAAATGTTAAGAGTAATACCTGGTGCTTTTGCCAAAGAAATATTAAAGAGTAGAACAAGATTCAAAGGAGTAGTTAAAAATGTCTTAATATTAGCAATAGAAGTACTATTGTTAAGATAGCTAAAAGGAGTAGATAAAAAACAGTTTATATTTCATATAATAATAACTGAAATCAAAGATGCATGGCATCAGTATATTTTGAATCAAGAGAAGAGCTCGAGTTAGCTCAAGAAAGAGATACCTTTTACTATAACACAAAGCTTGAATGGCTAGGTAAAAGTGATAAAAGGTGGAAAAGACCTGAGAAGAAGAGAGACCAAGACCTAGTGAAAGAGAGATGTTCTCCAGATGAAAGAGAAAACTCTAGGAAGTATACTCTTGGCTCAAATGAATTTGATAAAGGAGAAATAAATAAAGCAGTTAAAGATCACAAACAGAAGATCAAAATTAAAACTCAGTTCGAATTCAAAGAAGAAAGAAAAGCAAACAAGAAGAACCTAAAAGAGACAAGTAATGAAGGGTTGATAAACAATGCAAGAGAAATTATAAAAAATACGAGGAGCTTTAGTGATCAAGCAGTCATTGAAAAACTTGGTGGTATGTTAAAAGAAATTATAAAGAGGCTCGCTAAGATTAAGGAAAGACAACAGGAGGTTAATACCACCAATTGCTTCTAAAAGTTGTCACAGGTATTATAAAAGAGAAAAGAGGCTGCTTAACATCAAGTTGTACAAGAAGAATCCAGCCTCAAAACAGCAAAGCAGATTCAAAGTCAAGCCTTATAATACAGAAAAAGAACATTAGGTTAAATATAGCATGCTATAACATTAATGGAATTAAGGGAAATAAGACAAAGCTTAAAATGATAAATAAATGGATATCAGAGAATAAAATTAATATACTAGAGCTGGTTAAAACAAATACAAATAAGAAAGAATTAAGATTTAGCAAGTTGAGTAATAGCAAAAAAGGTTTTTGGACACAAAGTATGATCACAAAAAAGAAAGGTTCAGAGGTTGAGCTGATTGTAGATACAAAGTGGAAAAAGTATCTTGGACAAGTTGCAAAAGTAGAAGAATACATAATAGAAGCTAGATTCTATTTTAGACAAACTAAAATTATAGTAATAGTAGTATATTTCCCGTCTAGTAATAGGGAGTTAGAGAAGGTGCTTCAGAGAACAATTGTTACCAAGTATATAGAGAGATCTAGCAAAGCACACTTTATAGTAATGGGTGATTTCAATAGAGTAATAGACCCATTGCTAGACAAGAGTAAAAGTGATAGACACACAGCGCACAAGTTATTGCCACTCTATAAATAGTTTAGAAATCAGGGTTTTACGGATATATTTAAAGCACTAAACTCATGCACAAGAATGTATACATGGTCTAGCCAAGGTATCAAATCTTGAATAGACCAGACTTGGGTATTAGAAGATTTGGTTTATGGTACAACAAAAGCAGAGATCATAGAGGTGGAGGTTATAATGGCGAGTGATCACAGTATCATTACAGATGATATCATGTTAAAGCATCTTATAAAGATAAGAAGTTTGGCCAAAACAAGGAAAACCAGAGCAGCCAGAATGGTTTTTCTTTACAATAAAGCATCTAAAAAGAACTAGAATAATTATAAAGAACAGGTTGATAGTTTACTCCTAAATAGCAATATAGTCAAGCATCTGAGATTTAAGAGCCCTGAACAACATATAAAATGAGTTGTGGGACGCAATCACAAATGCAATTAAGAGAGCAGCAAACAAGACAATTCTAAAAAAATGAGTATACAACCCTGGTTCCGAAACCAGATACAGAAGAAAAGAGACAAAAATACATAATAACACTATGAAGCTAAGCAAAGTAATCTAGGCATTTAAAAAGAAAAATAGCATACATAAGGTTGATGAAGCAGAGATTAAAAAAGTTAATAATGTAGTAGAACACATTAACAAACATATATGATGTTGTTAGATAAATTAAATAGCAATAGCATGTCATTGCAGGTATGGTTAATAGTAGCAAAGCAAAGTTAGAAAGCAATGCATATACTTGAAAGAGCAGCAGAAGACAGTAGTACTCATATTGAAATTAAAAAGGCAGTAAACAAAAGGTTTGAAAGAATAGATAGTAATATCAGAAGAATATTAGCAAGTATATTAGAAAAATCTTACAAAAAGATTAATATTGACAGAGTTCTTGAGCAAACTAGTAATGAAAGAACATTATACAATGAGCCTGACAAAGTGTTAGAAAAGACTAAAGAATATTTCCAGAGTCAATTTAAAGAGAGAAATGTTGAGCTCAAGGCAGAGATTATAAATGAATTTTATAAGCCATTAGATGAAATAAATAAGGAATAGTTTAGTCATTTGTCAAATAAGATATTAATTGATGAGTGGTCTATTGCTTTGAGTAAAGCTAGTAACAAAACAGCACCTGGGGTAACAGGAATAGGATACACACTTATTAAAAATATAAGCAGTAAAGTGCAAGAGGTTTTCGTAAAGCTTGTAAGCTTGTGCTTAGATAATAGCATAATTTCACAAAAATAGAAGCTGGTACAGATATATCCAATTCCAAAAAAACAAAAACTAGGGATATTAGCTGAACAATATTAGGCCAATTGTATTACTAGAAACCTTCAGAAAATGTCTAATATGTGTAGTTAAACAGTGAATCGCAAGTATATTAGTAGAAAAAGAAGTGCTCAAAGGCCCAAACTTTGTCAAGCTGCCTAGCTGCTTAACAGATAGTGCAATTAACTTAGTCAATATGGTTATAGAAAATGCTAAAGAAAGTAAAAAAGAGCTATGGATAATGCTGCAAGATATGAAAAAAGCCTATGTCTCGGTATCAATTAAAACTCTCAAGCTTGCATTCACAAAAATAAAGTTATCTATTCAAGTCATTGATTTTATCACAGAGCTGTTTAACAAAAGGCAGGTTAAAATAATTATAGCATTCGGGTTAACAGAAGAGTTTGAGGCAGAAGATGATATAAAGCAGAGAGAGAAAATCTCTTTGCTAATATGAAAAATTTTTTATGATCCACCATTATGCAGAATTCAAGATAACCCTGAGCTAGAATACAAGATAGAAGGGGAAGAGCTACTAAATATAAGAGAAAACAAAGTTAGGAAGATGGTGATAAGACAAGCAGCAGTTGCTTTTGCCGACGACATAACATAGTTAGAGGCAAATAAAAAGCAAATAGAAAAAATACTTGAAATCGCCCAATGTTTTTTCAAGTTTAATGATATACAGATAAATAGCCAGAAGTCAAAGCTACTAGTACTGAATTTGTGGTTGAATGAAAAAGAGAAAATTATTAGAATTGATAGGTGTCCACTTAAGGTAGTTGGCAAAGGTGATTTAACAAGACTTCTTGAGGTCTGGGCTAAGTACAATAAAAAATTGGTAGTAAAGAAAGTCAAAGGCATAATAAAGCATTTTACTAAAACAATGCAAGCCAAGAGCCTTTCAATTAGTCAGCTTATATACATAAACAATATATATATTATATCAAAACTCGCATATATGTTGCAGACAACCAAGGTTTTGCATATTGGCCTCACAAGAATCTATCAGCCAATAGTGAAGTTAATCAAGCATAAAATTGGACTCCTAGCCATAGCAGATAATTATCTAATATCATACCTGGGAATAGGAAGATGCAAGATGTTGCATTATGAAGTTTTCTCTCACCAACTTGTTGGACTTTAGTCATGTTTAAATAGTAAGGATCAAGTTAGAAATATTACCAGACTTTGTATAGCAGAAGGTTTTTTATTAGCAGGGTTAGTGACTAAAAAATAGTAGCTAAAAGATATAGAAATGCTAGAGAAAATCTAGAAACACAATCTAGCAGATCTTGTTATAACAAAAGCAAATAAACAGAAAATAACGATATGAAGAAATGATAAACTATAGCAAGTACACAGATATAGACCAACAATACATGAAGTACTTGATAGAAAGATATTTTTAAAATATTGTAGTAAGATTAGAAAATATAATATTTACTATATCAGACAGCTACTTGATCAAGAAGGTTGCAAGTTAATTATATAAAGAAAACTTAAACTGCTAAGAGCCAGATTACAGAAGGTTGTAAGTCCAAATGGTTTGAGAAAATTGAAGCAAAGATACTTCAAAATAATAAAAATAGAATAGTTGGAGCTAAATTTCAAATGCAAGGTATAAACAGTATATCAATAAAAGTGTATTTAGAGTGGTTATCTGAGGATAAAAAGAAACATGAATGGGTGCTTGTTAATAAGGAAAATAATGAGACAACAGTTGGTAAAATTAGCAAGAAGCAAAGACCAAAGTTTTAATTGATCATTGGGTTAATCAGAATAGATCAGAAAATGCTCCAATCCTAGTCAAATATAGAAGTTGTAAGCTAAATTGTTAAGTGAGTAGTAACATTTGTTAGCAGTGGATAAAGAAAAAGAAAGTACTAGGGGTTCTACCTCATAGTAATCAAGACAAAACTACGATGAAACCACTAGTGTTAAAAGAAGCAGTAGGATACAAAATAAACACAAAGAAAATAGTAATAAGTAGCACAGAAAAAGAAGTTGCAAGTATAGTAATTTCTAAAATGCTTGAGAAAAGCTTAATTAAATAACAAGGTTTTGATACAGTACTAGAAAGCAAATTGATTGAACAACTAGAAACAAACTTTAAAGTAGGATCTGAAGAATACCTTTTTTATACAGATAGTTCAATGATTAAGGGATTAACAGAATGCAAAATGGGTGCAGGATAGTTGTGAGTAAGTTATGATAA